CACTGTAAACCTGATCCCCCCAGTATTTTCTGAATTGTAATTGACTATCACATAATTTCAGGTTGCCCATAAGAGGAAACAGAAAGGGGTGTAAATTTGCCTGGGAATGGGTAAGCCAGTTAATAATAATAATAATATCTATAAGGAAGGATAGGTTAAATCAAAGATAGGTAATGAGAAATGATAAAAAAAGTAGTATGCTGTGGTTTTGCGTTTGTTTTTTTATTGCATATACTCTGCGTGTGCAAGTGCACACGTCTTTGGGTATGTATATAGTCACTGTATAGCTTGTAGTGTAGTTGATGATAAAGAATACGAAAGACATTCTGTTGTAAAATTTAAATAATATTTAATAACTTTTAAAAAATAAAATGTATATTTTTAACTTTGTTCTTCTATGAATGCACAAAAACGTATCGTTGTGGTTGCAGCAACAAAATCCAAAGAACTGAAGAGACCTGCCCACTGTGGTGAGATACCAGTGACAATCTAGGAGAATTCACAATGGTATCCAAACAAAATTCTCCACGGCGAGTCCTGACTTGTTTTCTTGCTGTGAATTGTCTAACTCGGTATCTATGAAGATCATTCACGCTTAGCAAGAATCCTTGCAGACAAAGTTAATGAAGAGTCTGGTTTTAAGGTAAATGCCGCAATCAGCTGCTGGTTTCTGGTGCTTACCTTTGGTGCACATTTATAGCACAACAGTGAAGCTAAGGGGTAAGTGAATGGCTTCAACTTTCTCCACACTAACAACCTCCTGTCCTATCCATGAATGGGGGGAGACGCAGCCGGGAGCCACATGCACTGAAAGATGTAACCAGTTCTTAATTAGTTTGTGAGAAGGGAGGGGTTTGGGTGGATTCACATAGCAGCCATATTGCTGATGCAAGATAAAGTATTTTTACAGCTTCTGTGCTGTTCCTTCATATTATAAATCATACAATGCTGCGTTCAAATAATTATTAAACAGAAGAATAAACCTTTACAATTTTATATTATTTGAGGGGGAGGAATAAAGAAGTATTCATAGAACAGAAACGAGTAAATTTCAGTGATTGTGCACTATAGGATGTGGAGCTAAATAATTCTGTTGTACAAGCAATAAGATTTGGCTGCTACTGACAGTTGCTACCAAGTTGTACTGCTACTGTACAGGAAAACAAACCATACTCTGTTAAATCTATATGTGTATATATTATTATAATTGTGAAGATGAAAAGTTAGAATTATATTGAACTGAATCTAAAAGGTCAGCCTGATGCTGCTGAATTCTGTAGGTCCAACTGTGTGCCTTGTGCCTTCACATCTTGTTATTAAGCAGAAACAGCATGAGTATAAATTAGGCGTGCTCTCCTTCAATGTCTTTGTTGCCTTTGGCTCTGTCTTTAATTTAAATGTATTGAGTCAATACATTTAAATATTTCAAGATAAGAAATGGAAATAATATAAAAGATTTTACTAAAAGTGACAAAACACTAATGGAAGCAATTGGAATGACTTCTGTGTTGCTCTGCATATGTGCAATATAAGCAGCCTTTTAAATGTGTATTATGTACTACAGGGTATTTAAAATCAACCAGTTCAACATGAAGTTTTATGCATAATATTCAACTATCTTATTTTGTTTTTTACAAAAGGTTGTTGCTGTTGCATATCACGGAATATTCTGACCTCATCAGCAGAGAAAGCGTGCAACACTTTTAAAAAGAAAAGTCTGAGGCATGCAGTATGTTCAGAGGTTTGAAACTGGATTGCACTGGTAATGATTTAAGCACCATAAAATCTGTTTGGCGTATGTGAAGAGAGTTAATAACATCATATATAGAAAATAGTGCAGTTCAAATTATAAATAAGTTGTGTAGCATCTCAGTTGGCAGTGTAAGGGTAGTGTGTAATAAAAGAATTATTCGCAGCAATGGGTGGTCTCTTTTTTTTCCTTTTTTTTTTCTTTCTTTCTTTTCAATGCTTAGTGCTGTATGTTTCTGTTGCAATTACTGGGATTTACAAAGCAAATATTGCTTATACTTCCTATAGATATGTGCTTTGAAAACTGAGGCAATTTATCTTCTTGTGAAGACACCTAAACTGAGGAAGATTATTAGAGGGAACCACAAAGTGTGACTTGTTTTCAGTCTCTGTTTCTCATTTTGTTTCTTCTGTAGGTTTAGCTGAAATCTAGCAGTCTTCTTTAAGAGCTCAGGGCATTTTATTGAGAGAGTCACAGGATGAGGGTTTGTGATCTCTCTTCTCCCTCCACTACCGTCAGGCAAACTGATGAGAGTTGCCCTTTGTAGGAGCATTGTTGTGCAACGGTTTGCTCTTACCAACTGAGCCATCATCAGCCTGCTGTCTCTGTGTTAATTTTTAATGGCAGGGATCACTACAAATAGACTTGTCTACCTTTTATCTTTCTTAAAAATCAATGTTTTATTAATGTATTCATCACTTAAAAGTGACTTTTCAGTGGTGGAAACTCTGAGCTGTCAGCAGGAGCACCTGTGTGTACAAACTATAAACCATGGCAAGAACTAATAGTACACCTAACCTGGAATCACGTCTATGCAGGTAAGAAAGGAACAGAGCAGAGAGAGGGAAGGAAGGAACTTACACCATCTTTTGAAGAGCAGGACTACTGACAGGTCAGCCTGATCTCAGGAAGCAGAGAGACTGTGGTGATGGTAACACCAAAAGTAAGTCCTTGTGTGTGGGCTACTCAGTCAGCTTAACCTCTGTCTTGGCTCGAGGTCTGTTAACATTTGTCAAGGCTTGTTAGTGTGGCAGTAAAATCCTTTAGCGGTGGTGAGGTTGCTATGATAGCGAGTGATTAGGAAGCCACAAAAAATGCACAAGTAATGCATTATTTCAACTTAGCCTGCACAGCTAAATGCCCCATACTAGAGTGGTTGATGCATTAAAAGTAGGGGGTGAGATTTTGGAATAAACTTGCTCTTTCACGCTGCAGACTGTTCCAAGCACTTCCCAAAAAACACCAAGTAGTTTGGGCCTGAGTGTGAGAAGACTGCAGGAAATCAGGAGGGGGGAAAAAACCCAAAACTGAAGCAGTGAGAGCAGCAGGTCCAGAAAAGGGTTACTTAGGGGTGTTAAGGAGATTGTTCAATAGGCTGTGGGTTGGTGAGTCCAGCTTTACTGCTGGAAATTGCCTTTAAATCAAAGTAAGCAAAATGTCACTCATAGCAGAGACCTGCTGTTGTAAGCACTAAAGGTACAGGGTAACTTTTTTTTTGCCTGAACGTGATGCAGACTTCTAGTCCATCACAGTATGAATAGCTGCACTGAGCTTTCTGGGAAAACGTGGTTGTGTCTCTGGTCTATCGCCAGGGGCTGAGAGCTCCTCTAAGGCTGGCTGCAGGAGCAGGCCCGCTACGTTGCTCTGTTCCCGGCCATGTCCTTTCCCTGGCGTGCTTCAGCTTCTCCCTGTCACATGCGCATTATCTTGGGCTGCTTGCTGATGGGGAATTGTTTGTTTGAACAAAGAAAACATCTGATTCTTAACCTCAGCACTAGAAGGTGTGCACAGGGGTAGTACGTAAATTACTTCACTTACCAGTGCAAGGTGGTAAAATTGGACAACTGGTGACTGTTTTCTGGCTAAGGAAAGCTATGATTTTGATTTCTGCAAATTCCAGAAAGTGTGGGGCATATTCTAGCAAAGGCGGAGGCAGATGGGTCTGAAAAACAGAACTGAGAGGTGACTCCAGTTCTAAGAAAGACTGATGTGTCTTGGCTGTTGTAAGCATGCAGCTGGGGGTAAAAAAAAAAGAAAAAAATCTAAGCATAAAAACATCTGAAGTCTTAATAACTCTCAGAAAAATGAGCAATAGGCAAAAGATTTTTTTTTTCTTTTCTCCTCAGCAAGGCAAACTCTTATCATCTCTGCAGATGATGATATCCCAAAGTAAATTAATGAAATGGTGACATTCAGGGAAGGAGCAGCTGACAGCTTTGTACAGATTCTCAAGTGTGGAAATGAGTGATATTTTTTGGCAGACTAACTTGAAACAGGGATGATAAAAAATAAAACCATAGTAGAATGACAGAGCCCACTCACAAGTTGTTTACTGAAATGAAGATACAGCTGAAAGTAATTACTTGTTTCCCAGAGGTATAAGTGATAGTGGCTCCAGCAAGAAATAACACTTGGTTATTTCAGTTGGAATGTAAAATGGGATAGAAAGGTTCCCTCTTTCTGAGGTTAGATGCTGGGTATTTTCACCTCCTTTCAGAACAGTATGTGTATATGAATGTAATATATATTACTTATACAGTCAACCATCTATATGTCACCAGCAATTAATAAGTGAGTCAATGTCCAATGTTGTTTTCCTTTGACAGCCAGATCTCACTGTACAGATTCTGATTAAAAGCCTAACTTTTCAGCACATAAGATTAAAAATGCTCCTTTAAAATAACATATTTCTGAAGAAGATCCTCTCCTGGCTACAAAATCATCTTGGGGCACTTGGAGGTGGGGCTGCTTGATCTTGACATTTTAGCTGTGTGCAAACTATAGTAAAATGACAATTGTGTTCAGTGCTAGCTGCTCTGTATCTTCTTTCCGTGCTGAAGAACGCTCATTTTCTATGCCCTCTCTTCCAGACTGTGAAATGCGGGAAGGCAGCCTGGCAGGTTTCGCAGAAGTTGCCTCAGTGCAATCTTTTCCTATCGTTGATTTGCAGGTCAGCCCCTGATGAGCAGCCTCCTTTGCCTTGCCATGGGCCACGGAAAAGGAACCATTGCTCTTTGGAGGTTTTCTTCTGTTTAAAGACAAGGCCGCTTCTTACCTGTGCCAGTTCAAGTACTGACTTTTTCTTTTCTTCCTCCTTCAGTAAAGTGGGGTGATTCACAAAATCTTCAGAAAGGTAGCATTATACACAGTTTATAGTACAAAGGGGGTTGGGGGGAGGTCACATGAATGAGCATGAAGGAGATTTCTCCTGTGTCCTTTGGAGGAGGAGCAGAAAGATTGGGAATGGTATCTATGCACAGTAGGTGTCTGCCTTGACCACCTGACAGTACATGGTCATTGCAAAGGTGAGTCCGAGAATCTAAGAGAAAAAAAACCAAACAATCGTGTTTCAGTAAGCACTCCCCCATTCATTGAAACCAAAACAAAAAAAAAAAAGGCGACAAAAGCATGCTCACACTGTTTTGTTCACACACAGGAAGACACATCACATACTGCTTTTCCTGCCGGCTCATGTCCTTGTTCTGTTTCTAGTTTCTGCCTGCCTTTTGTCCTTATCTGTATTGCTGTTTTGCAGAATGAACAGTGACAGCACGGGACAGTTGATTTCTCCATGAAAAGCAGCCACCAGATACTGGGAAGAGGTATACTGAAAACAAATGTTTGGATGTGTTTTGCTCAAAAATGCTTTCTAGTAGCAACGCACAGCTGTGGGGCTGTGTGGTTATCTCAGTAGTTATTGCTTTGAAAGACGATCAGGTTTATCCCTGACCCAAAGGATGTTGTGGTTTATTTTGCTGCACTTTACTTTTCCAAGTGTATGTGTGCACAGGTCCCTGTGCGGGAATCGCTGGAGACTGTCCATGCATTAATCATAACCATCAATGCCTCATCAACAATGTATGTGTCTTTCTACTCAGCCGACTCAAGAGAAGCAGCGGGGAGGTGGTGGTTCTTCTCCCAGCCCAACTACTGACCTGCTGTGCTGCCTCTGGTAGATTACTTCATCAGAAAAGGGGATAGGGAAGAGAGTCTTATTTTCCTTCCAGCTGAAGTACTTACATGGATGTACTAAGTGGTTGTTACTATTCCTTTGCAACACCACTGTAAAAATTGTCATTGAAATAAAGGTTTGCCAGGTAGGAAGTTTTTGTATGCATACTCTTTTAAGCACCTAATTTGACTACTTCAAATTTACTCCTTACGTAAGTAGTAGCTCCTTAATGAGTATTTTGAAAGAGTACGTGACACACATACTACTTTATAAATAAAGAAAAAAATGTGGTTATAAAGCTTTTATCGTCATTTCCCATTCTTGTACAGTGAAATATGATTGTTAGGCTTCAGTGTGCTGTTTCATGGTAAGCACATGCCTTTTGGAAGTATCCCTTGAACACTGCCTTCTATTTCCTTGCAAAGGAACAGTCAGGGACAGCTGCGTAATAAAACGTCAGTGGCTGAATTTGTTATATAATTTCGAGCACGCATGACTGAACAATGATTCTACTGCCACATGCCATGTATGTCCTTCGAGTTGTGTCACTGTATGATTCTAACTATAAGATTGTTAACATGAAAAAAACTGTCACGCTTAGTGCAAGAACAACACTGTAACAGCAACAGTAGAGGGAGCCCAATTCATTTTAGGTGACAGCACATTAGCGCTTCCATCATCAGTTAGATTCAATCACATAATCCAGCTGGAAGACAGACTAAAAATCTCTTGTGTTCGCAGGTGTTTTCTCTGTACTTCACCGCATTTACTAGTAATATTAGTTAGCATTTTTAAATTGTCTGAATTGTTTTCTTCCATACAAACTACTGCTTTCTTTTTGTCAGAAAGATAGTATTCTCTTAAATACCCTAAAATACGATCAAGGTCTATGAGGAGGACTCTGACATGGGCTGCTTGGTTTTTAATGTATCTTTTAAAGACTCCCTAAAGGTTAAATAGATGCCGAAAAGCTGTTTTTTTACAATATGGTAATATATTAGCAACAGTCTTATGTTGTCTCTCTGCCATATGATCTTCTTGTGCTTATCTTTTTTCCCCTAAGCATATCTGCTTACTATACTGGAAAACAAAAACTCTACTGAAACAAAAGCTCTACTGAATTTGGGCCTACAAGGAGTCAGGCATTTGCATTAGTAAGTTGCAGCCAAGACATGACACGAGAGAAAGATACATGCCAGCTGACAATAGTGGGAGTGTGAGTGGACTTCTGATCCCAGTCTCTCTCTTGCTGCTGCTAGTGCTATACCATGCAAAATTGAAAAAAACCCATGGGTTAATCTGGAGTTACATGGTATTAATTAGCTCAGCGATTCCATCCTTTCTGCTTTTATGTGGAATGCAAGAGAGAGGTGGAGCTGGAAAGTAAAGCTCCATCTTCACTGCGTTCAGGAATGGGACTTTGGGCCATAAATGGAGGGCTGACATACAGCTGAAACGGCCTGAGCTCCAGCACAGCTTTCACCATGTATCCTCAGGCTAAGGTTTGTGCCACTGAGGCTATACTATGGCCACAAGCTGGATTAAAGCCAAGGTAAGAGTAAGAGACAAGGTACTACACTTACGACTGATTCTTCTCTGACCAAAGTTGTGCTGGAAACAGCTGCAGGTCAAAATCTGGTAGGCAAGTCTGTGCCAGTCTTACCTACCTAAATTCAGGAAAGGAGCGCGGTTTTATTGGCAAGGTTGAGCAGCGGTAACAACATCCCAACTTACCCTAGGACTGAGGGTGGGGTTGAAGACTTAAGCTACCTTTTAGGCTATCTTGAAGTTAGATATTTCACCTAAGTGGACAGTCCTTTCTGGAGAATAACAGCACAAATACAGGTACGCTAAAAGGCAATTCACCCTACCCTGACTAGACTTCTGTCTTTGGAGGGTGGGGACTACCTCTCCACTGACTCTAGTCTAAGCCTTAGATAAACCACTTGGTAAAGTGCCTGCATCATAAAACAGAAAATGTGTGCAGTATTCCTAGTTCTGTAGCTTATACATAGTATTTTAACTAAATTAAAACACAGAAGAACTGAATCTTGCAGAGTTTTACTCTAACATGATGCAAAATTTGGAATTACTAAAACAGGCTTGGACAGAGTATATCTGGATCTGTGGTTACTTAGTTACAGTTCATTAGGATTTGAAATTTGATATTAAACTGTACCTGCACCATAGCTGTGCACAATCCAAAGATTCCCACTGCTAATAAGTTTTCCTGGAGCCATATTTTCACTGTTTCGTAGCAAGGCTGGAAAAAAAAAACACCCAAAATATTTTATTAGCCATAAATGTACAGCTCTGCTTCCCAGGGAATATACAGACAGCAAAGAGCCAGATCAGACTAAGCTGCTAGGTAGCCTGGATTATGATTTTAGCATTGGTGCAATTATAGTGTATTTCTAGGTTGAAGCTTGAACATGGAGTACTAATTGGAACGGCATGAAAAAGCACCGTCCAAAATGCTGCATGAGCACTCCTCCATATAAATTGGGCCAGTAACTAAAAATAAACAAGCAGTGGATTTAGGTCCTCTTTGCCCTCTAAAAAACAACTAGAAGCAGAACTTAAGAATGAGCCTATCATTTTCTCCATGTTTCAGGAAAGCAAGTATTTATTATAATATATATATGTATATCAAATCCAAAAGTTCCAGTGAGAGCTGCTCAGTAGCCACTTCTGCTGCTCAAGGGCCCATTTCACACCATTTTCCATCATTTCAAATTGTAGTATGGGGTCTCCTCCATTATTTTCTTCCTGCTTTAAATTCTGCAGTAGCTGTAACCTCATGTTTCTGGCCCAGTTTTGGGGAGGGTGGAATTGGCCCAAGTAAAACATTTCTTTAAATAATATGCAAAAATTGTGCCCTCTTTCTTGTAAATGACCATGGCCAAGAATCATTTTGTCTTCAGTTAGTGGCTTACACATATGTATAAAGGAAAAACTATTAATGCCCACCAGAAGACATGGTGTTAACCTGCACTGATCTTTTTGGTACGAAGAACTTTTAAGTCCTTAAATTCAAAATTTAACTTGAAGCTACTTCAGAGGTAGAAGGGAGCCAGGTTTGGTTGGAACTCAGCCTCTGCCAGTGCCAGTCTCACTAGGAAACGGCCAAGAGAGCTTTACTCATTGTCTTCACAAACCATTAGAACCAGCAAAACTTCCTTGTAATTCCACTTCATCAGCTGGCCTTAATCCACACCACTCTACACACTACCTGTCGTCCTGGTTTTGGCTGGGATAGAGTTAATTTTCCTCTCAGTAGCTGCTCTGTTTTGGATTTAGTACCAGAAGAATGTTGATAACACTGATGTTTTCAGTTGTTGCTATGAAATCAAGGACTTTTTACCAGTTTCTCATAATCAACTAATGAGCAGGGGTGCAGGAGCTGGGCGGGAGCATAGCCAGGCAGCAGCCCCAAGGTGGCCAGTGGAAATATTCCATAGCATAGATGTCATGCTCAGTTTATCAATGGGGATTGGCTGGGGTGCGGAGGGCAGGAATCCTCTCTCCTTTCTGGGAGCTACACCTGTAACTAATTACACCTGTAATTAGCACAAAGAATTCCTGAGCTAATTTCAGAGAAGAATTTAGGCTCTGACTATCTGCTCTAGAAAGGTCTTGCTGAGGACATTGTAGGCTGCTCTGTGCCCATATGTTTCTGTAAGAATCATTGTTAGCATTCCTGAAATACAGACCCAGTGGTGAATAAATGAAATTGAAAGGCAGCATGTTAAAATCCATGTAAGAAGGGTTCTTTTAAACGTATATGACATGATGAAATTGAGACATTCACTGCTACAATGTAAGACAGAAGTGGAAAGTTTCACAAATTCAGGAAGGGATTAAAGGTAGATGTGGTTAATGAGACCATCTAGTGGTACAGTTCAAGGGATGAAGAAAATTCAGGCAATATAAACAAGCCTACTGAATTGAGGGCGTTGTAAGAAACTTCCACCAAAGGTTTGGTGCTATCCTTTACGAGGTTTCCTGCAACAATCTCTGAAACCTCTGGGTCTCCACTTTCAGGTTGTGTCTACCCTTCCACTTTCAATAGAATGCCTGTGTTGCTGTTAAGAATGTACCCAGTTTAGAGGCAATTTCACTTGCAAAGCCCTTTGACCTGGAGGGTACAATAAACTGTATTGAAAAAAGCAGTGTTAGACATGACTTCAGACAAGGTACCTGACTAAGGAGACCATTTTCTGATCTGAAGAGAAAATATTTGGGTTTGGGTCTAAGTATTTTGTTACACTGTAAACCTGATCCCCCCAGTATTTTCTGAATTGTAATTGACTATCACATAATTTCAGGTTGCCCATAAGAGGAAACAGAAAGGGGTGTAAATTTGCCTGGGAATGGGTAAGCCAGTTAATAATAATAATAATATCTATAAGGAAGGATAGGTTAAATCAAAGATAGGTAATGAGAAATGATAAAAAAAGTAGTATGCTGTGGTTTTGCGTTTGTTTTTTTATTGCATATACTCTGCGTGTGCAAGTGCACACGTCTTTGGGTATGTATATAGTCACTGTATAGCTTGTAGTGTAGTTGATGATAAAGAATACGAAAGACATTCTGTTGTAAACTTTAAATAATATTTAATAACTTTTAAAAAATAAAATGTATATTTTTAACTTTGTTCTTCTATGAATGCACAAAAACGTATCGTTGTGGTTGCAGCAACAAAATCCAAAGAACTGAAGAGACCTGCCCACTGTGGTGAGATACCAGTGACAATCTAGGAGAATTCACAATGGTATCCAAACAAAATTCTCCACGGCGAGTCCTGACTTGTTTTCTTGCTGTGAATTGTCTAACTCGGTATCTATGAAGATCATTCACGCTTAGCAAGAATCCTTGCAGACAAAGTTAATGAAGAGTCTGGTTTTAAGGTAAATGCCGCAATCAGCTGCTGGTTTCTGGTGCTTACCTTTGGTGCACATTTATAGCACAACAGTGAAGCTAAGGGGTAAGTGAATGGCTTCAACTTTCTCCACACTAACAACCTCCTGTCCTATCCATGAATGGGGGGAGACGCAGCCGGGAGCCACATGCACTGAAAGATGTAACCAGTTCTTAATTAGTTTGTGAGAAGGGAGGGGTTTGGGTGGATTCACATAGCAGCCATATTGCTGATGCAAGATATACAGCTTCTGTGCTGTTCCTTCATATTATAAATCATACAATGCTGCGTTCAAATAATTATTAAACAGAAGAATAAACCTTTACAATTTTATATTATTTGAGGGGGAGGAATAAAGAAGTATTCATAGAACAGAAACGAGTAAATTTCAGTGATTGTGCACTATAGGATGTGGAGCTAAATAATTCTGTTGTACAAGCAATAAGATTTGGCTGCTACTGACAGTTGCTACCAAGTTGTACTGCTACTGTACAGGAAAACAAACCATACTCTGTTAAATCTATATGTGTATATATTATTATAATTGTGAAGATGAAAAGTTAGAATTATATTGAACTGAATCTAAAAGGTCAGCCTGATGCTGCTGAATTCTGTAGGTCCAACTGTGTGCCTTGTGCCTTCACATCTTGTTATTAAGCAGAAACAGCATGAGTATAAATTAGGCGTGCTCTCCTTCAATGTCTTTGTTGCCTTTGGCTCTGTCTTTAATTTAAATGTATTGAGTCAATACATTTAAATATTTCAAGATAAGAAATGGAAATAATATAAAAGATTTTACTAAAAGTGACAAAACACTAATGGAAGCAATTGGAATGACTTCTGTGTTGCTCTGCATATGTGCAATATAAGCAGCCTTTTAAATGTGTATTATGTACTACAGGGTATTTAAAATCAACCAGTTCAACATGAAGTTTTATGCATAATATTCAACTATCTTATTTTGTTTTTTACAAAAGGTTGTTGCTGTTGCATATCACGGAATATTCTGACCTCATCAGCAGAGAAAGCGTGCAACACTTTTAAAAAGAAAAGTCTGAGGCATGCAGTATGTTCAGAGGTTTGAAACTGGATTGCACTGGTAATGATTTAAGCACCATAAAATCTGTTTGGCGTATGTGAAGAGAGTTAATAACATCATATATAGAAAATAGTGCAGTTCAAATTATAAATAAGTTGTGTAGCATCTCAGTTGGCAGTGTAAGGGTAGTGTGTAATAAAAGAATTATTCGCAGCAATGGGTGGTCTCTTTTTTTTCCTTTTTTTTTTCTTTCTTTCTTTTCAATGCTTAGTGCTGTATGTTTCTGTTGCAATTACTGGGATTTACAAAGCAAATATTGCTTATACTTCCTATAGATATGTGCTTTGAAAACTGAGGCAATTTATCTTCTTGTGAAGACACCTAAACTGAGGAAGATTATTAGAGGGAACCACAAAGTGTGACTTGTTTTCAGTCTCTGTTTCTCATTTTGTTTCTTCTGTAGGTTTAGCTGAAATCTAGCAGTCTTCTTTAAGAGCTCAGGGCATTTTATTGAGAGAGTCACAGGATGAGGGTTTGTGATCTCTCTTCTCCCTCCACTACCGTCAGGCAAACTGATGAGAGTTGCCCTTTGTAGGAGCATTGTTGTGCAACGGTTTGCTCTTACCAACTGAGCCATCATCAGCCTGCTGTCTCTGTGTTAATTTTTAATGGCAGGGATCACTACAAATAGACTTGTCTACCTTTTATCTTTCTTAAAAATCAATGTTTTATTAATGTATTCATCACTTAAAAGTGACTTTTCAGTGGTGGAAACTCTGAGCTGTCAGCAGGAGCACCTGTGTGTACAAACTATAAACCATGGCAAGAACTAATAGTACACCTAACCTGGAATCACGTCTATGCAGGTAAGAAAGGAACAGAGCAGAGAGAGGGAAGGAAGGAACTTACACCATCTTTTGAAGAGCAGGACTACTGACAGGTCAGCCTGATCTCAGGAAGCAGAGAGACTGTGGTGATGGTAACACCAAAAGTAAGTCCTTGTGTGTGGGCTACTCAGTCAGCTTAACCTCTGTCTTGGCTCGAGGTCTGTTAACATTTGTCAAGGCTTGTTAGTGTGGCAGTAAAATCCTTTAGCGGTGGTGAGGTTGCTATGATAGCGAGTGATTAGGAAGCCACAAAAAATGCACAAGTAATGCATTATTTCAACTTAGCCTGCACAGCTAAATGCCCCATACTAGAGTGGTTGATGCATTAAAAGTAGGGGGTGAGATTTTGGAATAAACTTGCTCTTTCACGCTGCAGACTGTTCCAAGCACTTCCCAAAAAACACCAAGTAGTTTGG